CACAATTATTATAATTATTAATTATAATATCACAACTATATTATTTTATATTATATTATAATGATAAATATAATTATTATTATTATTATTAATTACAATATGACAAGTATATTATATTATATTTATAACGATAAATATAATTACAATGTATAATACATAATATAAGATATTATTATAATATTAAATATGATATACTATAGGTATATAGTTATAATATATTATATTACATGTTATAAGATATGATTACATTATAATATAAATTATTATATTATAATATTAATTATATTATAAATATTAATATAATAATTTTTATAATTATAATATTTAAGGGTAATGATGAAAAATAAAATTAAAAGAGCTTGAAATGGGCATTGGACATTCCTCTCATGTGATGTGGGAATGATGATTCACTCATTTGATAGAAAAGTCATTCCATTTGAATGACCATTTCTTTTCTTAAAACCAACTAAACATGAGAATGAATCTTAATTTTTTTCCATTCCTTTCCATTCTCCCCAACCAAACATATCCTAAGTTACCTGCGTATTCAAAGTGGAATCAAATCTTCGTAGTTTTTAAATTTTGAAATTTAAAATGGAATTTTATGAATTTTAATCGAGGTGAATGACCTCTTTGAATTTTTGTGGCAAATTATAATTTTAAATTTTTCTTTTCCGTGATTTTTGAAACTAATCACATCCTAACTGATATGTGATACACATAATTTTTCAAATCTGTTTGGATTTAAAAAAAAAAGATGATACTTTTGTTAACATAGATATACACTAGTGAAATACCCGTGCGTTGCACGGGTAATAATTTTATAGTACGTGGTGTTATTTTGAATGTGATAAATGTTAAAGATAAAGTGTTGAAAATGAGTGTAAGATTAAACGGACGGTTTTTTTTTTTTTTTTTTGCAGTGAGGGAGAAGATGGGAAAAAGTTTTATATTACATGAGAACTTGATAATTTTTACAATACATAAATAGTTTATATATACATATTTGTACATTGATGGCCTATATAATGTTCTACTAAATATATATTTACATTGTGATTGAGATTTTTCTTCAGTCTTTGTGTTGCCTTCTTTTTTTTTTTTTTTTTTACCTGCAAGATATACATTTTTGAAAGGTTAGTATTGATAATTGATGAAATTGAGAATATTTGATTTAGAGAAAGTGATATTACCTGGTTCTCGGACGTTTCGTAGATTGTTCTGTTTCTTTTGATCGAGAATTGTAATGGTGAGAGTTTGTTTATATATATATATATATATATATATATATAAAAAAAAAGATATTGTGTTTTTTTGCTATTGTCTTTGTTTGAGAGCTAAAATGGTAAAATAAAGTTTATATATTAGATATCATTTATTTATTTGT